TCTCTTCCAAGTTGGTTCTGAGCTCACGCAGTCGGTCGACTTGGACAAGCCCAACTTTGTTGCCCCTGATAGCATCCCTGTTGCTTATCGCGAGCTCAGCCTACCTGCATCTCATCGGGATGCTGTTGTCAACTCTATGGTGTACATCCACTACTCGCTGCAAAGATTCAACCAGCGCCTGCAGAAGCAACAAGACCGGATTACTTATTTGACTCCTCGCCACTACCTCGATTTCGTCGCCCAATATGTCAAGCTTTTCAATGAGAAGCGTGAGGACCTCGAGGAGCAGCAAAGACATTTGAACGTGGGTCTTGAGAAGTTGCGCGATACGGTCGACAAGGTTCGCGATCTTCGAGCCAGTCTTGCTCAGAAGAAGACGCAGCTAGAGAAGAAAGATACGGAAGCCAATGAAAAGCTGCAGCGTATGGTTGCCGATCAACGAGAGGCCGAGCAGCGTAAGACCGTCTCTCTCGAAGTCCAAGCAGCCTTGGAGAAGCAGGAGAAAGAGGTTGCACTTCGGAAAGAGGTCGTCCTGAACGACCTTGCTCGAGCCGAGCCGGCCGTCTTAGAGGCTCAGAAGAGTGTCAGCAATATCAAGCGTCAGCATTTGACGGAAGTCCGTTCTATGGGCAATCCCCCTGCCAGTGTTCGGCTTGCTCTGGAAGCTGTCTGCGCTCTGCTGGGCCACAGGCCCGATAGCTGGAAGACCATCCAGGGAATCATTCGCAAAGATGATTTTATCGCAAGTATCGTGAACTACGACAATGAGAAGCAAATGACGAAGCAGCTCAGGGTGAAGATGCAAGCCGAATTTCTTTCCAAGGAGGACTTCACCTACGAGAGAGTGAACCGCGCCAGTAAAGCCTGTGGTCCTTTGGTGCAGTGGGTCGAAGCACAAGTCAATTACTCCGAGATCTTGGACCGTGTTGGGCCCCTCCGTGAGGAAGTCGACCAGCTGGAGGAACAAGCTCTTCAGACCAAAGCTGAGGCCCAGACTATCGACAAGACCATCAGAGACCTTGAGAGCAGTATCGCCACCTACAAGGAGGAATACGCGGCACTCATCTCCGAGACTCAGGCTATCAAGGCGGAAATGGAAAGAGTGCAATTCAAGGTCGACCGCAGTGTCCGTTTGCTGGATAGTCTCTCGTCGGAACGCATTAGATGGGAGGAGGGAAGTAAATCATTCGAGACGCAGATCAGCACGCTGGTTGGTGATGTGCTCATCGCAGCAGCCTTCCTTGCCTATGCCGGTTTCTACGATCAACAGTTCCGTAAAGCCATGATCGACGAGTGGGTCAATCAGCTGCAGCAGTCGGGCATCGGCTTCAAGCCACACAACCCCATCACCGAGTACCTGTCGAACGCCGATGAGCGCCTCACTTGGCAAGATCACTCGTTGCCCGTGGATGACCTTTGCACGGAGAACGCCATCATCCTCAAGCGCTACAACAGATATCCCCTCATCATTGACCCGTCTGGTCGTGTTACGGAATTCCTGGAGAAGGAAAGCACGGATAGAAAACTCACCGTAACGAGCTTCTTGGACGACTCCTTTGTCAAGCAATTGGAAAGTGCTCTGCGTTTCGGCAATCCCATTCTCATTCAGGATGCCGAGCATCTGGACCCCATTCTGAACCATGTCCTCAATAAGGAGTACCAGAAGACTGGTGGTCGTGTGCTTATCCAACTTGGCAAGCAAGAGATTGATTTCTCTCCTTCGTTCAAATTGTTCCTCTCCACAAGAGATCCGTCTGCCTCGTTCCCTCCAGATGTTTGCAGTCGAACAACCTTTGTCAATTTTACTGTCACGCAGAGCAGCTTGCAGACGCAGTCTCTGAACGAGGTCCTGAAGTTTGAGCGCCCCGACGTCGATGCCCGGCGTACCGATCTGGTCAAATTGCAGGGAGAATTCAAGATCCATCTTCGTCAACTCGAGAAGCGACTGCTTCAAGCGCTGAACGAGTCTCGCGGCAATATCTTGGACGATGACAATGTCATCGAAACGCTCGAGACATTGAAGAAGGAGGCGGCTGAGATTTCGAAGAAGATGCTGGAGACCGAAGGCGTCATGACGGAGGTCGAGAATATCACCCTCAACTACAGCATCATTGCTCGCTCTTGCAGTGCTGTTTTTGCCGTCTTGGAGCAGCTTCACCATATCAACCATTTCTACCAGTTTTCCCTGCAGTTCTTTGTTGATATTTTCAACTCCGTCTTGTATCAGAACAAGCGTCTTGCCCAGGAGAAGGACCATGCTGCGCGAGTCCAGATCATCCTTCGGGACCTGTTCGTTACGACCTATCAGCGTACCTCGCTTGGGTTGATCCAGAAAGACCGAATCACATTGGCCATGCTCCTTGCTCAGGCTGCGCCCTACCCGATGGACAAGAGTCTGATCGATATGATTCTTGATGAGTCGATGGAGGGCGTGGATCTGTCCACAGCGACTGAGCGCAAGGATGAGGTGCTCAACAAGATCTCCAACATGTCTATCTTCAAGTCGGCCTTCCCCGGCATTTCCCCGGAGCAATGGGACCAGTTCCTTGGTGAGGAGCTGGCGGAGAACGTCATCCCTACTGTGTGGGACGACAACACGGAGAACCTGGACAAGCTGCTTCGGTCACTGTTGTTGGTGAAGCTATGCCGCATGGACAGGTTTGTTCCCACTGCGGAGCGCTTCATTGAGGCTGTCTTTGGTCGGGAACTATTCGAGGGAAGCACGGATCTGAAGGATATTGTCGAGCAGGTCAACGCCACCACGCCAATTTCCCTGAGCTCGAGCCCTGGCTTCGACGCGAGCTACAAGGTCGACGCCCTTGTCGAACGGATGGACGCTACCTGCGCGAACATTGCCATGGGATCGAACGAAGGTCTGCAGAGTGCCGACAAAGCGATCAGCAACGCCGCGGCGGCCGGCACGTGGGTCCAAGTCAAGAACGTCCACCTGGCGCCGTCCTGGTTGCAGAGCCTGGAGAAACGCCTGGTGTCGCTCAAGCCGCACAGGGATTTCCGACTCTTCCTGTCGATGGAATCCAGTCCCAAGATTCCGGTCAATCTGCTGCGCGCCTCTCGCGTTCTCATGTACGAGCAGCCCGCTGGTGTCCGTGCCAACATGAAGGACTCTCTGTCCTCGTTGACTACCCGAGCCTCCAAGGCGCCCGTCGAAAAGGCCCGTGTCTACCTGCTCCTGTGCTTCTTGCATGCCGTCGTGCAAGAACGACTCCGCTACGCGCCAAACTTGGGATGGAAGGGATTCTGGGAGTTTAATGACAGCGATGTAAGTTTTGTTGCTGTGTATTTTTCCTCGTTGACACGCTAATCCTGTACAGTACGAATGCTCCGCGCACATCATCGACTACTGGATCGACACCGTGGCCCAGGGCCGCTCCAATGTCGCCCCGCAGAAGCTCCCCTGGGAGATGATCCGCACCCTGGTGACGGAGACGTACGGCGGCAAGGTCGACGACCAAGGGGACTTCGCGCAGCTGGAGTCGCTGGTGACCAACCTCCTCACTCCGGCCGCCTTCGAGGACGAGCACAAGATCGTTTCGGGGGTTGGCGACGGCCCCGGCGACAGTTTGATGTTGCCCGGCGGCACCAGCATCCGCGACTTCGTCGACTGGGTCAACAAGCTCCCCGAGCGCGAGCCGCCGACCTACCTGGGTCTGCCGGCGAACGCGGAGAAGCTGCTGCTGGTGGGCCACGGCCGCAAGATGATCTCCGATCTGGCTAAGGTGACGACCTTGTTGGATGAGGGGGAGCAGTTGATGATTGAGTCTGCTTAGTTGGTTTGTGAGGTTGGTGGGACACATCCCAGAACTTGTGACGAATGGGGAGTGGGGGATTCGATTGTGTATGTTTGACTTACTCTACTCTGCGAGGGAGTAGTCTGGTCTCTTCTCTACTTGTCTTCTTATTTTACTTGTTTAGTGGACGGACTGGGTACTTTAGAGGAGGTGGGGGGGAAGGGAAATAGATCGGTATCGAGGTGGTTGCTTGTATTTTAGATGTGTACGGAATATTATGTTGTATGCTTAGGAACTGTTTGGTCTAGATGAACGTCTACGGGATACTATATTGTATCGTTCGTAGAATGCGTGGTCTTAACGAGGACGAGTTGCGTAGGTTGCAGCTCCTTCCAGGAACAAGCAATCAATGTTTACCACGGAGGAGAGCGAAACTCAGTACTATGGGAGTCAATATCACCACTTGATTGCAACACACTGCATCGACAAATAACAACACATGATCATTCCCAGAGAAACAGCAATCAGATCAACCCACTTAGTCCCCAGGCCAGGCCAGAACCTAACCCCTCAGTCACCTCCTAAGCTCCCAACCCATTCAAAGCAACCAGATACAAGCCAACATCTTCATCGTCTTCTTCTTCCAAGACCAGACAAAGTCAGACCAGACAAAGTCATTCCCACCAGAAGGCTGAAAGTCCAACACACCACCAAGCACCACCACACCACACCGCACCGCACCGCACCGCCACCGCCACCGCACCAGACAAGACAAATCAAACAACCTGCCCCTTTACCACAGAACATCAACTAAACCCTCAACCCCCCTCTGCTGTGTTGTCAAGACAGGATGAACCCCAGACCAGTGTAGTCCACAAAACCGCTGACCAAGCCATTCACGAACCCAACCCTCGGCCAGATCCAAAACATCAATATCCCAGCGAGAAGGTCACGTTAAGTCACGTCAAGTCAAGGTCCGTTAGGTTTAAGTTGCTTATTCCTGACTTCTGGCTTTTCAAGAGAAGGATCAGATGGCTTCAAAGGATATGAGTAGGAGTATGGGTATGTATGCAACCACGGCACGGACAGGACAGAAAGGGTAAGTCATAAGTCGTAAGTCGTAAGTCGGGGTTGGCTTGGTTGTTGAGGTACATGTACCGTCTGTAGGTGCAATGGAAAGAAGAACCAGGTCGACGAAAAGTGGCGAGAGAAGATGGATTTGTTTCGGGTTTGGACGGGTGGAGATGTGGTCTACTGAAAGCCGTAGATGGGATTACCCATCTTTTGTTTTGTCGTTGGGTTAGTTTGCTTTCTGATGGTATCTCTGAGCCTGGGATGGATGGACATGGAGCTGGGATTGGGATTGGGCATGGACATGGGAGAGGTATGGGATTAGATGGTTGTGCTTGTGCTTGCTTACCTGGTTCAAAACAAATGTCACCTGTATGTTGTGTTATTTCAATTAGCAGTGTTAATTAGTGTAATTATATCCCGGTTTACTATCTTTGAGTTGGGGTTGCCAGTTGTGCTGCTGGATGCTGCATTGTTTCGTGGAAGGGAAGATTCGGGGGAAAGAGGGGAAAGGGACGTACGTCTCTGGTCGTCACGACCTATTTAGCATCCAGTACTTGTTAGTGGATGTGGATGTGGACTGTATGCCTCGATCATCTGCTTCATGGGGATTATAGATGAAAAAGAAACTAAGACCTGGGGATAGGCATGGATGATACGGAGAACAGTGCAGTGCAGTACAAAGCAAGTGAGTGAGTGAGGTAGGTCGGTGTCCTCTCTCTCTCCTCTTCTCTTCTCCCTGGGGTCAAGGTGAAATTTAAATGAGATGACGTGAAAGGGGGAAAGCTTACCTTACGTTCATGGCCTGGAGTAGTTCCGCTGTCCATGACGTGCACTATGCGGCGGATGATCTTGTAGTGAGAGTTAGATGAATTGGATGAGTGTTATGGGTTTATGGAACTGGTGGTTCGGTGTTTGTTGTAGAGACTGGGGATTGGGAATTGAGGTTTGGAGTTTGGAGCTCGCAAGAGTGTGTTGTGAGCTGGGCTTACTTCAGTAAGACGATTTTTGAGGGCCCTGCGCGCTTCCTCATAAATCTCGTTGCCGATGCGATAGACGCCACCGCGGCGGGCGAGACGGCTAGGATGGGAGTGGGTTAGTTTGTGTTTTGGCTCATGATGGGTGGGTTGCTTCAGGACGAGTAATTGCTTCAGAGCTGGTTGTTTGCAATGCTGCTGAGCAATCTGATCCTCGTATTGCGGTTGCAAGGCAAGAGGATGGAGGACGCATACCGGATAGCGGGCCGAGCTGATTCCTGTCAGTCTGGAGGTATCATCTTATAGCTTGCAGCAAAAGATGCAACTTACTAACACCCTGGATATTGTCTCGAGCCAGCTTCCTGTGACGTTGAGAGTGAGGTTAGTGGCAGTGTAACTGGGAGATTGGCACTGGCTGTACTGTAGGCAAATACAGCACCTAGAGTTAAGGCAAAAGCAAGCAAGGCGAAGGCATAAAGCGTACCGGAATCGGCGCCTGGGCATGAAGGCCCGATGCTTGCCACTCTCCTTGAGGAGATTGAGGTCCATCTTGAATAGGCTGGGCGACGGGATGATGACTAGCTATGGGCAATGCGAGGGTGATGCGAGGGTAATGCTTTCTTCGGTCTTGGGTGAGGGGATGTGATTGCTGGCATGAGTGGAAGCTTGGAGGTCTACAGCCAAAGAGAAAGTCTGGTGATGTGTTGTGCTGCGATGATTATGTCGGCGAGGGGAAGTCTCGGCGTTGCCCCCCAAACCCCCCCCCCCCCCATACTGAAACGCAAGGGAACACGCTGGAAAACGGTAACACATGACATAACATTAAATATCGTGGTAAGTTTATAGGCTATTAGAATCAATATCACGTTGCGGTGCGTATGGATGCATGAAAGGGGAGCTTGAAAATTCAACACCACTCGAAACGCCGGGACAATGTCCGCATCATGTCCTCCCTCTATGAGATAAAAGTCGCCTCGGAGAACAAGGTACCCTCTTCGGTGATTTCTTCATCGCCGATCTTAAGCTTCAAAGATAGCTTCTCCTGGGGAGAGTACTGCCCATGAATTAGTTTGATGTTGACTCCACATAGTTCGGAGGATACATACCTGGAAAATGTACGGCCGGGTACCGGCGACACTGCCAGCAATGGTCTTGATGAAGCCCGGAACCTCGGCCATCACGTCAATCCGGTCCAGGCGGCTGCCCAGAGCTCCATCGACCTCGGCGTGAACCTCCTTGCCATCCTTGGACTTGCCCTCCCAGACCCACTTGACGGACTTCGGCTCGGGCCAATCGCTCTCGGCATCCTGGTTCGATTCCGTGTGGGTGGCAGAGTTAGTGCTACCAGCATAGACGATCTCTCCGTCCTTGACAATACCACCGACGTTGACCACGGTGGATCCGTATGAGGGAGGGGTGGTGTACTCCATCATGATGGCCGAGTAAGTAGGGGTCTGGAAGTTGAGGAAGTTCCATCTCGCAGCTGTTTCCTGTCAGCAGGGTCCATGGACAACCCGAGATCCGACTTACCCGCGTGGTGGGGCTTCATGCCCTGGAGCGCGTGGATGAACAGGCCGCGACCCTTGAGGTCGAAGTTCTGTTCCTTGGTGGTGATGGTTCCCTCCACGGCGCAACGAGGCCAGAAGGCATGGCTCATAGAACCCCAAGGGTTCTGCGGGTCCGTGCCGAAGTATGAAGTACCGTCTTTGCCGACAACGAAGCCCGGAGCGGTGCGCTTGAAGGTCAAGTTCACCAGACTGTCCTCATTCACCGCCGACTTGATAGTGTAGGTATCTCCTTCCTCATTCAGCGTCACGGCGAGGTTGTCGGCGCCAAAGGAAAGCATGCTCTCATCAAACATGAAGTTGGAGAGAGGGTCGGAGTGCCAATTGTGGGGAGCGTCACCCTTGAGGTTGAAGATCTTGGAAGTGAACTGGGCGGTAGTATGGATTCCACTAGTCCGAGCACACCCCAAGGTCAGTGATGCAGCTACCGAAAGAGGTCCGTCCAAACTCACACAATGTTGCTGTAGATGACCTGGCACAAGGCTAGGGTACCATTGTCGCCCATGACATAGAAGACATGAGTCTCGACGTTGGTATATTGGTGAGCACGCCAACGGAGATCATCCTTGGTGAGTTCCGTGTAAGGGGTTTCTTGCGCCTGCTGGGCAACCGATCTGATAGCCTCCGGGCCATAGATCGGTTCCTGAGTGCCAGCAACGCTTGCGAGACTAGACAGTGCAAGTGGTTAATAAATGTGGCGATGCTATGGCTATCAGCCGCTAGAGCCACCGGCCAGCAACTTACGTAGACTTAAGCCAGTTCATGGTGAGCTGTGTTTGTATGAGTTAAAGAGGGGAGGAATATGAGTAAGAGAGGATGAAGCAGCACAAGCGGTGGGGGGGAGAAAAGTAGCAGGAGGATTGGAAGGTGGGCGGGAACTGGAAATCGATAGCGGGCGGGGCCCAAAAGGGTCGATCACCGTCTGGGTCCCGAGAGGTACTTGCGAGAGTTGGGTGAGGGACACAGTGTCAGGATTGTCTGATATCTCTCGTACAAGTGATAATTGGCTGGTGCCAGCTACTATGAAGTATGCCAACACTGCGAACCAGGCGAAGAACAAGAAATGAGGATCAAGCGGTTCATAGATAGTCGAAGGTACGAACAATGACGTCCGCTTGAAAGTCGGGATGGTTTCGCTTGTCGCCCAAACGGCAAGAAACTCCGGCCTCCGCCGCACCCTTTCCCCTTTGGGAACCCCAAGAAAAGTTGCAGTTCTCAATGCCGCATTCATCGGGTCCGCCGCGAAAGTGTTAGATTATTGACTACCTGCTCAGCCTGTCAATTGCCCCCTTTTCTCGGTCTCGAATATCTGTCATTCACTTCCGCTAGTCTCTCATCATGGCGAAGAAGGCATTGCCCAAGGATCAGATCGTGAAGCTGATCGTGGGAGCTGGCCAGGCCAGCCCCAGTCCCCCCGTCGGTCCGGCCCTGGGTAGTAAGGGTGTGAAGAGTATGGATTTCTGTAAGGTGAGTTCGATGTCCACACTGGATCGATTACAATAAGATTTTTCTTTTTTCTCCCCATTAGTCTACCGGCTGCATTTCTTGGGGAAACGGATACCAGAGCCCGAAAGAAAGAGTACACATGGCTCACGGCAACCACTGTATAGGAGTTCAACGCCCGCACTGCGCACATCAACACCGGTGTCCCTATCCCGGCCCTCGTCACCGTCCGTCCCGACCGTTCGTTCCTGTTTGACCTCCGGACCCCGACTACGACCTATCTGCTCCTGCAAGCCGCCAACGTCGAGCCGCGCAAGAACCGCATCCGCGGGGCCCAGAACCCCGGCCACGAGATTGTGGGCAAGGTCTCTCTCAAGCACATCTACGAAATCGCCAAGATCAAGCACACCGAGACGCGACTGTCCGGTCTGAGTCTGCAGGGCATGTGCAAGAGTGTCATCGCCCAGGCCAAGTCGATTGGAGTGGAGGTGGTGCCGTGAACGGCGGACGAGGGGGAAGTCGACTGTATTGTATATGGGATCCTTGCTACCGGGCGATTACTGCTGCTAGCTGTCTGGGATTGATGATCATGGCGTTCTTGGGGGACTGGGTCTGTTGTCATTTGTATTAATAGGCATTGCATGTGATATAGAAAGCGTTGGCTGGTGCCTGAAGCGTTCTACACAAACAACCTCGATCCTGCTTCGCAAACCGTAAGAGTCCATTGAGTGGGTGGCAGGGTCAGCGAGTTAGCTACTCTGGACTGGTAAGAGACCGTCTATGCTCGCCGATGTTGCAGGTCTAGTAGGGCATCGGTCTTGGCTCAAGCAAAGCGACTCCTCCGTGTCACCCGCACGGGCTGCTACTGTCACTATGCCAAGCTCTTTCCGCCGTCCATCGTGCGACCTGAGGGCGGAAGAGGAGACAGCAGGAGGCGAGAGTGCGAGTCGCAAGGAGCCAAGAGGCGGACAATGCCTGCACCAAGTGTGATAAGGCATGAAACGGTCATCCACCATTTCTGCCGAGCCAGGCCAAGACAAGGAAGGTACGCAAAGTGTAGCAATCCCGTCGACGATCATCGCGATCACCTAGGATACAGCGAGCGGACTTGGTCACTTTGAGGGTCGCAAAAGGAGGCAGTGCAAGTTGTTCCAGGCTGGGCTAAACCACTTGGGCTTGGCAAGGGCGGAAATAGCCCTTGTACGTTGCTTTGCATGCAAGTTTGGTGATAATGCGATGCTTGGCATTCTACAAGGGGGGGTTGCGGAGATGCGTCAGAGTGAGTCGATCACATTCCTCTGCCTCTATTTCCGGCGGCGTTGCAGCTCCTTTGTTCTCCGCATTTTCTGGTTTGACATAATCTGGGCGGCGATCGCACTCGAATCGTCGCTGAGTAGTAGACTGGTCTTGTTACCGCTTAAAAGGGTTGGACTGCTGATTGGGATCAAGGGAGTAGACCTGTTTATCATAGTGCCTTGATTCGGAAAGGCCAAGCATGGTCGGATATTGACATGTTCAGGTTCTGAGGTCTATCCAGAGGATGCTGGTGTTGCAGCAACTCGAATCAGTCTTGTTGATGTTTGATTAAGAGTAAGAGTAATGAGAGGGCTCACAGCGTAATGGCAGAAATCCACTTCGCTCAGCCTTATCGCATTCTGCCAAAGTTTTGATGGTTGATGCATCCTGGTCATCGACTGGAGGATAGATTGGGATATTATAGCCTAAAAGGATCCGCAACGACAGGGTTTGCTGGTGATTCTCCCTGTCGACGCGGACAAATCAATGCCGGCCTTGCCTCAAGGCTGCCGGTGAGCAGCAGCAGCAGCAGCATCCCCGCTCCGAATTCATCGAATTTCTATCTTCCCTTTTTTAGCTGGCGTTCCGTGCTGTCGTCATTGTTACAGAGATTTCAACACAGAAATGTTCAGACATTAATGTTTCTTAAAACGTATAGCGATGAATAGCGATGAATATCAGTATCAAGCATGAATCGTCTACACATACAATATGCCTCCTTCCGGGTGACTCATGATCCCAGCTAGGGCTGCCAGTTCAAGCTCTGACATGGGATCTTTTATGGACTCATAGATAGTAGTTAGATACATAAGTAGTACGATGGATACGGAGCAGTGGGGACGGCTTAATATGGTTCATTCCGGCGGGGTGGACCGGTCAAATAATAATGTGCATGGCAGGGAAGGGGCTGGTTTTAAGTCCACGCCAGTCAAGATCCAGAAGAATCTAGCGGGGTACGTACGCAGACTACTCCGTAACAGTAGACTACCATCAACCGGCAACTCGGCACCAGTCATTAACAATCATGATAACAATGATGATTGGAACCATTAGCAGCTGACTGCCAACTCCGGCCAGATGACACTTTCCTTGCCCTTCCTCTCTGATAACAAGATGATGTCGACATCCCAGAGTTCATCCGGTGACCCCCAAGAATCGATCGATTTAATGGTTCTCTCCGCAGAATCCCGAACCCAGAGCCGGTCTTGGTCTGGTCTGGTCGGTCTCTCCATGGCCAATCTTCTCCGCACGGGGTCGCTGATCGTGTTCCAAGTTGCGATGAGGATGATGGAGATAGAGAGAATTAACTATTTAGAGAAGTTGGTGAACCGTGCATGCAGGCGCAATTCATCCCCCCCCCCCTCTACTCTCATAATAGATTCCCCCTTTGGGAACCCCAGGATTAGAACCGGAACCGGCTGGAGAGGAAGAAATTCCCGGGCAACTTGCCCATTGCAGCCAAAATAGCTTTTCCAACTCCATCCATCTTGAGGAATATCATCGGTCGTTAGCTTGACGATATTGAGTCGCCCTAGAGAGTAGAATCAAGTCATCTTCAAGTGAGGAACTAGAGACGAACCAGGTACATTAAGTAGTAGTTGAAAGCAGACGAAGTCAGTGCCGCCGCCGCTATTGCCGCCGCCCGGCTGGATTTCCTTCGCCGAACGGCTGCTTCTCTTTCTGACTTTCTGACTTTCTCTTCCTCTTCTCTCTTTTAGGCTCTCTAGTCTGGTCTCTGTTTCTTGTCTCGCTCTGTCTTCTCTCCTCTCTCCCTCTCTCTCCCTCTCTCCCTCCCTCTTCCAATCTCTCCATCTTCTAGCCCGGTGGAACCTCCTCCCCCCGTCTCATTCCTGTCGCTGCCTTTCCCCTTCTTCCCTCTTCAAACCAACCCTCCTCCCCTCTCCGTTTCCTACTTCCAGACCCTCTCTCCACTTCCCACCTTCCCCTCCTCCTCCTCCTCCTCCTCCTCTTTTTTCTTCTCTTTCTCCCCAAACTCACTCCTCTTTGAGCTTCTCCTCATTTTTCTACTTCCTCTCAATCTGTCACAGGGTCACTCTCGGATCATAATACCTGTGGTTGTTGAGTGGGATAAATTTCCCTCATCCTTTCCATCTCCTGTCCAGCGTCCAAAGTTCTTGGGGTGAAAGTGGTGACCGTTTCTGGACAAAAGATTTGCTCCGTTGTCGTGCATGGGAAATCCTCCGTGCAACTCCCCCGTTCTGTCCTACTCGCCCGCCTTTCACAGCAGCCCGCTGATCGCAAGATTGTTTCATTTTTGAATTTCCGATTTATTTAATTAGTTCTGTGGTGGTTACCAATCGCGGTGGTCAAGGGATCCCACAGGCATCAACCGTGGAGGGGCATGCGTCCCACAGCGTGGTCTTGAGCCGAGTATGACGTCTGAAGCGACCGATTTTGCCCAAGCGAGCAATCCCAGCGACCCTGGTAAGCTACTCTCCCACTCGCGGCCAAACAACCTCCCCACCTTCCAACCACCCTCCTAATGCCATTTTGCTCTCATTTTTAGCACCCCGCTCTCCCCAATCTTCCAGCCAGATGGCCTCTGGTCCAAACATGGCTTCGGGGGATGTCAACCCCAGCCTCAGTTCTCAATCCGGGCAGGTCCGGTTCTCTACGGTAACGGAGGAAATCGAGCCTACCGATCCGTCGTCTTCCGTCAAGTCTTCCGGAGCAGAGTCGATCAAGGATACGCAGCATGAGGAGGAACTGCGGTCGCTAGCTGCCAGCTTGCAGCGGTCCCAATTGCAGGAGAATCGATTGCGGCAGTTCTCTTACGATCCCATCTCGTTGCCATCATCTAGAGTATGTATTCTCGATTCCTGAGCGGTGATAGGTGCTTGGGGTCATGCAGCATACAGCAAAGAACATTCCATTTCCATGGATTGCTGTCTCCTCGCATCGAGCCTGCATAGCCATTCCAGACCTGGCCAGAAGCTGACAGGCATCCTTCCTTACAGGTTGCCTCCCGGGAATCGAGCGACCGCAGTGCACGCGAAGCGAATGGATCGGGCTTCCCCTCGCCCCGAGGTTCCCCACCAGTGTCCGCCATGCAATCACCCCCGCTGACGCCCGCAGCCACACATTCACGGGAATCCAAGTCGATTGATACTTCTTCCACATCCAACACCACCGATCGGGCCGGTAACGCCGCCCAGTCCACCCATATGACTCCCGCAACCTCCCCTCCAGCCAGCGCTGCCGCACAACATAAGGCTCCTCAAAGCGCCCCCTCCTCCCGTCCATCATCGACCGATCAACTGTCGAAGCAGAACCAAGTGGCACAGACCTCTTCTCATCCGAACCACGGCGCGCGGCATCGAGCGCAGTTCTTTATCGGTCCCACTGACGGATCCCAGGAAGAAAGCCCACCAGCCACCCCTCGCGGTGATCCCGAGAGCTATACCCCTCCGGGTGCGATCACGCCGGTGGGTGAGCCGAATGACCCGTATGCTCGTAGCAAGCGTCCTCCGCAACCGAAGAACCTTGCCCAACTTGACCAGCGCTTCATCTTCGGCAGCCGGGATTCCAAGCGTCGCACCACAACGTCGGCCTTCTCACGCCCATTGAGCCCTCGTTCTTCCAGTGCCACAGATCTCCGGTCCAGTGAAAAACGCGGTGGCTTCTTCAATTCCAAGCGAGAACCACGACAGCCGGACGCCGAGGGAAAGACCCATGGCCATATGTCAGAGTTGAAGCGCTTCTTCAAGCGGACCCACAACAAACACAAGCGAGGTGATTCACCGTCGTCGATCCCATTCAAGAAATCGAGTCGAACCTCGGGCAAGGGCGGCCCATTCCACGCGGCAGCCGACAGTGTCCCCTTCGCAGACGATCATGGTCTTAACTCGAAGTATGGAAAGTTGGGCAAGGTGCTGGGGTCGGGAGCCGGAGGCTCGGTTCGATTGCTTAAGAGGAATAGTGATGGGGTGACTTTTGCGGTAAAGCAATTTCGAGACCGTCATTCATGGGAAACTATGAAGGAATACTCCAAGAAGGTGACTGCGGAATTTTGCATTGGGTCTACCCTCCACCATGGCAATATCATCGAGACGCTGGACATTATCCAGGAAGGAAGCCATTGGTATGAAGTCATGGAATATGCGCCCTTTGATCTGTTTGCCATCGTCATGACAGGAAAGATGGTCAAGGAGGAGATTGCTTGCTCTTTCAAGCAGATCCTCAGTGGAGTCGCCTACTTGCACGGAATGGGCCTGGCCCACCGTGATCTGAAGTTAGACAACGTGGTCGTCAATGAGCATGGCATCATGAAGCTTATTGATTTCGGAAGCGCTGTGGTGTTCCGATATCCTTTTGAGAATGATATCGTCCTCTCTTCTGGTAGGTTTGGTTCTGACGTGCTTTGAAAGTCCCATGCTCACAGGGTCTGTTAGGAATCGTTGGCTCGGATCCATATCTCGCCCCCGAAGTATACGACGAGAAGAAGTATGACCCTCGCCCGACTGATATTTGGTCCCTGGCCATCATCTTCTGCTGCATGACTTTGCGCCGATTCCCTTGGAAACAGCCCCGTGTCAGCGATAACTCGTACCGACTGTTCGTTTCCACGCCAACTCCTGGAACTCCGGTGCCTGAGGTCGACCCGAAACGCCACCGGGCCGTCAAGTCATCCCCTGATCTTATCACCGCTGCCCAAGAAGGCAAACCCGCCCAGCCCAGTATCAATACTGACGTCGCTGGACAATCTTCCCAAGCGAACGGGCAGCAAGCTCAACAGCCTGCTGCTGCCGGTGAAGAAAACCAGCCGCCGAAAAGTCCTCAGGACAAGCCGCTGGTCACCAAAGCACCTACGGATAGCAAGAATGCTAATGCTACTACTCACAAGCCTTCCCGTACCACGAGCAAGGAGGCCCCTCCACTTCCGGCGAACGCCCAGGCGGCGGCTCAGCGACAGGAAGTCATTAAGGGGCCCTGGCGCCTTCTCCGGCTCCTACCCCGCGAGAGCCGGTACATTGTTGGCCGGATGCTCAAGGTGTCGGTGAAGGAGCGCGCTACACTGGATGATGTCTTGACTGATGAGTGGGTGCGCAACATCAAGGCGTGTCGGCAGGAGTTGACTGGCGAGGTCATCCATGCTCCAGGCCACACCCATGTCTTGGAACCCCCTTCGGCCAGTGTGCCAGTTCCCAGCAAGGCCAAATGATCTCTTAAGTGATCTATATCTATTCCCACTGTATAATTTTTATTTTTCCCATTTCCTTTACCTTTCTCTCTTTTTGTCAGAGCAAAAGGGTGTTTACGTCCCACATGTCTTATAATCTTCCTCGTCCGGACTACACTACCTCTTCCCTGTCTTCTTCGATTCTTCTGTTTTACATTGATTCCCTTCGACTAGGATGGTGGTCTCGGTGACCTGACACCATCCGGTCGATTGTTTTTTGTGCTTCATGGCGGGGCTCCTGTGCAGTGAGATATAATTGCGTGATCGATGGGATTCTGTGCTCATGGCTCTCTCCGCGTTGAAAAGAGGGTCTGGAGGTTGCCTTGTGCTGTTGTTTCTTGTTTTCTTTTCAATTTAGGCGTTGCGGTCACTGTCCGTGGAACGGAGCTGCTTTAGGCAATCATTCTTCCCTATAGAGGGTCAGCTGCTAGAAATCTTCCTTGTGCCTTGTGCTGTGACAGAGCCTTTTTCTCAGATTGTTTTCATCCTGCAAGGTTTCGCTTGTGTTGAAGAGCAGTTATAGGCATAGTAAATATTATCAATGATCAATGAGAGCATAACCATGCGGAGTTGGGGCTTGACGTAAGGCGGAGATTGCGGAGTTTAGCCCGATAATCGGAGGTTGTCGATCCGCCGAGAGAAGTCGGCGGACGACTTCCCGGCCAGAACTTGCACACCACTACCACCACCACTCAACAATTGTCTCAACCGTGTAATTGGGAGGGACGAACATAGTTGCTTGCAGGGTCGCCACAATTTACTCTGGGTATATCGGTTGAAAATTTCTGGCCAGACCGCCGACTTCCTTCCCAGACCCCAGCACCATGGCTACAGCGCAGGAACCCGAGCCATTGGTCTCGCTGTGGACGAGATCATTGATCGTATGCTTTCCCTGCCCGGGTGCTGATTCTTCAACTAATGCCATGTCTTGTGTTCCAGTCCGGAGCCATCGCCGGCCTGACGGTCGACTGCTCACTGTACCCCCTTGACACGATCAAAACCCGCCTCCAGAAAGCGCGCACCGCGACGCCGGCCAGCACCGCCGCCGCCGCCCCGGCGGTCTCCCTCCGCCAAACCATCCGCGGCATCTATGCCGGTCTCCCCTCGGTGCTCTTCGGGTCCGCCCCCTCGGCCGCCTCGTTCTTTATCGTGTACGATGGGGTGAAACGCCTGCTCCTCGAGCAGCCTACAGCAAACTCCGCCCCCGCCCCGTCCCCGTCCCGCACCCACATCCTCCTAACACACTCCCTCGCCTCCTCGATGGGCGAGATCGCCGCCTGCGCCGTCCGCGTCCCCACGGAGGTGATTAAGCAACGCGCCCAGGCAGGCCTCTTTGGCGGCTCCAGCGCCGCGGCGCTCAAGGACATCCTAGCGCTGCGGCACGCGCCGGGCGCGGGCTACGGGTCGGTGGTGCGGGAACTCTACCGGGGCGCGGGGATCACGATCGCGCGCGAGATCCCGTTCACCGTGCTGCAGTTCACGATGTGGGAGAGCATGAAGGACGGGTACGCGAAGCGGAAGGGGTTGGAGATGGTCCCCGCGAGCACGAGCGCGATGTTTGGTAGCGTGGCGGGCGCCATTGCGGCGGGGTTGACGACGCCGTTGGATGTGGTTAAGACGCGGGTGATGTTGGCGAGACGGTCTTCCGGGGAGGGGAAGGTGCGGGTGAGGGAGGTGGTGCAGGAGATTGCGAGGGAAGGCGGCGGGGCGGCGTTTTGGAGGGGCATTGGGCCCCGCGTGGCGTGGATTGGGATCGGCGGGGCGGTGTTCTTGGGGAGTTATCAGTGGGCGTGGAATGGGTTGGAGGGGGGGAGGAAGCAGCGGGTAAGGGAGGGGGATGCTTTGTAGGTTTTTTTGTGGGTGTATAGTTGGGTTGGGTGTGTAGAATTATCATATAGATAGATGGGTATTAGACTGGTTAGATGTATATTTTATTTCCTTGAGTACAGGATGCATCCATGAAAACCTACAAAGATGGTAACTCAGGATGATTCTCCCGCAACATCCACTGGAGTTCCTGCGTCTGCTCCTCCGTGAGCATCTCCTCCATCTTCGTCCGCGTGAGGAACTCGTGGTCCTCCATCTCGAACCCAGGCATGACTGTCTGGGGGGTATTGTCAGCTCAACTCACCCTTATACCTTGACACTGCTAACCCCAGCATCCAGAGGAAAAGAAAAAACGAACCTCACTAATCAACATTCCCTCAAACCCATTCCCATGATCACTCTCGATGTCCCGTGTTTCCAAGAAACACCCCTTCCACACCCCCCCCTCAACCACCCACTGCATCCGCTCCCCGTGCTGCGTGTCCATACCTACCACGAAGGTTTCAACGGTAGCCTGGCCTTTGCCTTTGCTTCTCCCTCTCCCTCTCCCTTCCCCATTCGCCTCATCCTCATCCTCATCCCCAGTGACCGGTGCATCCTCCCGCAACAGAACGTATCGTCCCCGTCCCCGATGCAGCGAATGCACGGTCCGCCCCTTGTTGCGGTGGAAGACGCCCACCGCGGAGGAGGGGGCGAGGAGGTAGGTGATTGTTGTGCTGAGGGAGCGGGTGCCGTGCTTTTGGGGGCTGGAGGAGGACGAGGAGGAGGAGGGCTCTGCCCACGGGGTGGGGAGGGTGAGTGGGTGGCGGTCGGTTTGGTGGAAGTAGCCGCCTTCGGGGTGGGGGTGGAGGGGGTATGGGAGGGGGTTTGGGGGGGTTTTGGGGGGAGGGTTTGGTTATAGGGATTGGGATTGGGATTAGGATGAGGATGGTTGTTGTTGGGGTTGTGGTTGTGGTTGTGGTTGTGGTTGTGGTTGTGGTTGTGGTTGTGGTTGGGGGTGGGCATTGTGTTATTGTGGAGGTGGTGGTTTGTATGCTGTGGTTGTGGGAAGTGTGGTTGTAAGGATATTAGTTGTAGAAAGTATGGTGGTTGGAGATATGGTAGTATGAGATATAGTAGTCTGAGATATGGTAATAGAGGTGGCTATCCTGTGGTAGAGTGGATGTTATTGTTTTGAGAGACTGTCCATCTTGTACTTGTAGTAGATCTTATACTTGTACTAACTATACTAAGCTTATAGCAAGGGGCGGATCAGAACGTGGCATCAGGATGATATCAGGGTTGTTGTGGGGCTGCAAGATGCGATGCATGGCTTGCGGGGTACTTGGTATGAAGATGCGGGCATACGGCAGGTACTATGTGCAGTATAACTATCTCTCGGGGATCTGTTCACTCAGTATGGAGAAAAGCCGCAGTGATGTATGTCGACTCTAGTGTTGTTTGGACCAATGAGTTGTTATTGGGACAGTTGACAGTGCACTCACTTTATATCGCAGGCTCCTGATGTGATTAGTGCTTGTGATTGGCTATTGTCGAGGTTATGAATTGTTGAGCACATGAGCTGGAGGATGTAACCGAGAGATTATTTCATCGAGGGTGGGTAGGCAGCGTAGGGCACTGACTTAAAACTTGGTATGAATACTGTGGGCTCAAGGTCACGCTACTTAGTACTGTATACTTGAGTACTCGTATATGGGGCAGCTGCAGCTGCCAGTCCACCAGTTGCCGACCCGCCGGCGGTTGGATTTCCTCGTCTCGTCATCCCATCATTCCACCTTCTCCGGCTCCGTTTCTCTCCATCTCCATCTCCCCGACTTCTCCAATCCTCCTACCTTTCTTTCTCTTCAATAGCATTTGCGCTTCTCCCTGTCACCTACTGACCAATATACCATCTCTCGTCTAAGACAGTCGCCCCCCGATGAATTCCCCAGCCCTGACCCTCGAGTGATCGTCTCTCCGCATCCTGCATCGACCTCCGCATTTCCTCGTTATCCTGCTCTTCTCCGCCTTCACCCTGCTGCATGGCGAGGAAACTCAGCCACCAGAGGGTCACATATGGTCTGTCTCCTCCTCTTGACTTGTTCCTCAATAACCGCTGCCTCCCCCATACCACCCTTGAATTCTGATTATCTTCACCCCCCGCTTATCCGACACTCCCTGGCATACGTCTGCATTCCCCAGATTGCAGATCCCAACTAACCACCATCCCCGCTCTATAGTGCTCCCTCTGCCTGACGCACCCGGTGGCCATCGCCTAGGTGTTAATGGCCTGGCAGTCGACCCCGACGAATCCATCCTGTAAGCACCACTACCTGCGTCGCTCGGATCGCTCGGTTGCCTAATACCGCTTGCGCCCGGCGCAACCCTCTTGACACCGCCACAACACTAATACCACCGGTCGCACCAGTTACTCCGCAGGTCGCGACGGCGTCGTCTGCTCATGGGATCTCAACTTCTCGCTCACCGACTCTTCCAAGCCCGGCAAAACCACCTTTCGCAACCAGGTCCAGGCGCACAGCCATTGGATCAACGACATCGTGCTGACCAAGAATAACTCCGCGCTAGTCTCGGCCTCGTCAGACACCACCGTCCGACTCTGGCGCCCTCACTCCGAGTCCACCGAGGTGCCGGCTCCCATCGGCAAACACGCAGACTATGTCAAGGCCCTGGCCACCCCCGGAAACCACTCGTCGTGGGTCGCGTCGGGCGGCCTGGACCACAAGCTCTACCTGTGGGATCTGAACGGTGGCGGCGAGGTGCTGGGGATCGATGCGTCCGGGGATGATCGCACGGCCAAGGGCTCCGTTTATGCTTTGGGCGCGGTCTCCTCCGTCCTGGCGAGCGGCGGTCCGGAAAACGTGGTTCGCGTGTGGGATCCGAAATCCGGAAAGCTTATCACCAAGTTTGTCGGTCATACAGATAACATCCGCGATATCTTGATCAATCGCGATGGTGACACCATCATGACCGCCTCGTCCGACCAGACCATCAAGATCTGGTCCCTTACCGCGGGAAGATGCATGCATACCTTGACCATGCATAATGACAGCGTCTGGTCGCTGTATTCGAACCACCCGCAACTGTCGGTATTCTATTCCAGTGACCGGTCCGGTCTCGTCGCCAAAACAGACACCCGGAATTCTCCGGACATTGAGCAGGGCACGTGCGTGGCGGCTCTGCAAGAGCACGAGGGCGTCGTCAACGTTGTAGCCGCGGGCGATTACATTTGGACGGCAACCCCTAAGTCGAGTATTCATCGCTGGCGGGATGTAGACACCACAGCTGAGATCGAGCCCCCTGCGCGAGACCGCAATGTGCAGACTCAGGCGCCTACGTCTGCGCCATCAGACGGCCGGCCCAAGATGATCCCATATGAATCGGTTCTGTTGCTGTCGCCTACCTCCACCTTCCCTAATGCGCGCCCCCTAGACGATGAGACTCCACGCTCGGGGCCGACTTCACCCCGGCTCTTGTCTGGTCCTGACCTGGACGATGAATTGGGGTTGACGCTGCCTATACAGGCATTACCCGAGGAAACCATCGAAGGCCAACATGGCTTGATCAAATACTCCATGTTGAACGACCGGAAACGGACATTGACTCAGGACTCCGCTGGTGAAGTTGTTCTGTGGGATTTGCTCAAGGTATTATCGCCAGTTCTTCAATTGCGGTGACCGCTCTAACACACCACTAGTGTAAACCAATCCAATCCTTCGGCAAGAGACACATGGACGATGTCGCCTCCGAGATCAACACCACCGAGAGCATCGCTCACTGGTGTACTATCGACATTCGAACCGGGCGCCTTTCCGTGATTCTGGAGCCTGGCCGGTGTTTCGATGCTGAAGTGTATGCCGACGAGTCGGATCTGGCGGACCAGTCGCAATTTCGGGAGGACCAAAGGAGTAAGTCATTTCCCTTTCGCAGGGTTCCAGGTACTGACAATAATAGTCAATCTTGGAAAATGGATTCTGCGTTGGCTATTCGCACCTCTGGTGCAAGAGCACGTTCAGCGCGACGCCCAGTTTCGTGCTGCAATGGTAGCCAAGGCGGAAGAACTGGCTCGCTTGACCAGTACTGGCGCGTCAGCCCCGGTTGATATCCCATCGGCAGATTCCTCGAGGCGGGCGCTGGGTTTGCAGTCGCCTCTAGACCCCTTCACAGCCACTTTTAGGTCTGGTTACGATTCGATCGGTAGCCCTACGACGCCCGGCGGGTTTGGCATCGGGTATGCCGGCAGCCCGGCGACTATGGGATCACCCATGTGGACTTCCAGTTACATCAATAATGCGAGTCATCTGGGCACCTCTCCTGGAGATTCAACGTCGGAATATCTCATGTCGCAGTCGCAGCAGAATGCGGACATGACCCGTGCCTCTTTCTCGGACCGCTCCAGCGACTACTTTTCATCGTCGCGAAACCAGGGCATGGGCTCGCTCGACGCCGACAAGGTGCCGACTACCCCAGGCGAACCGACCCCAACGGCTCTTCCGCAGTCTCCGGTCGAGCCCGACAAGGAGGAGCGGAAGCGCGGTGCGTCCTTGTTTGGGAAGAAGTTCCGCATGGATTTCCCTAAGAAGCTGGGGCGGACCTCCTCGGAGGTCAAACCCCAGGTCCCAGAGGAGAAGGTGGAGGAGTCGGATAAGTCGTCGATCAAGGAAGAGAAGGTGTTTGAGACTAACCTGGGAGGGTTCATTGAGCGAACGCGGCACGAGTATGAGGAGTTCATGTCTGCCAACCCTGGCCGGGAGTTGACGTCGGCGTTTACTCCGAGCCCAGACGACGAGACTCCGGTCCTCGACATTCCCCCGCGCACCGTGGTATTTATCCAAGAGGAATCGGGTGATACGGCTGTGGCGTCTGATCTGTACCGAGGGACGGTTGGCCGGATCAGCGAGGAGATTGACAAGCTGGAGAAGTCGATACCCATGTGGCTCGCCGAGCTGCTTTTGAAGGTACGCACTTAGCTAGTAGATGCCTGTCAGCGACTAACAACCCGCAGAACCAAGTGCCAGTGAAAGAGCCGGTCAAGATTGCTTTCACACTGAAGCCATACGATGATCTGTTGCCCCCCGTGGCCAAACCAGAGTACGTATCCTTTTTGGTCTTGTTCGAGCGAAGCTAATAAGAAAGGCCGCCCGGGAGCCCCAATGCCAACAACAATCGCCTCAACGCGAACCGCATGCTGCGCGCCAAGAAGATCCTGGCCTACGTGGCGGAGCGGATCGATCCTCCCAACCCCCACGAGCCGGAAGCGAATCCCATGAAAGCCGAGGAGTATCTGGAGCTGTATTGCCAGAAGATGGTACGTTTTCTTTCCCGGGTGTCATCGCATCGACATTGCTAACGTGCGCAGCCCATCCCCCCGAACATGACTCTGGCGACGATCCGGGCGCACATCTGGCGATCCTCGGGCGACATGGTCCTGTACTACAAGGCCAACGGGAAGAAGGAGATCCGCATGCCGGCGCCCGAGGAGGAGAAGGAGACTGGGCCTGGGTTTGGGATGGCGCTGAATGGCGAGGCGGGCAGTGCGCCGCCGGCCAGCGCGCCGCCGGCCAGCATTCGGTCGCACGCGGCTTCGGGCTCGGCGGTCTCGGTCAGCAATGCTTAGGGGGGGGTGGAGGATTTCCTGTTTATAGTTGGTTGGGCTTATCTGATGATGGGCCGGTACATACACCTGTGGATTTGCGATACCAAGATATTGTGCGATCTGCGTAGCGAATTGATTTTGATGTTGTGTGTGTTGGATTATAAACATAAAGTACTCGTGACTCGTAGTTGTGACACTGTATAGGAAGTTATAGAATGCAGCGATAAACAATGCCAAGAGCGGCAATCTTATCATATCAAATCATACCGTATCAACTTCGCCCTTCCGCTCTTCCGTCATGCTCCCCATCAACATCTTGAGTGTTTGGTTCCTCGGCCAGCCATGGCCATCTCCGGACTACTGCACCACAAGAAACCAACTGCAATAACCGTCTCGCAGTTTGTAAATTCCTTCCAGCGAATATGGCGCGACTCACGGATGCGTGGGGGCCAGCGAGCGCGGGATACCCGTTTCCCATCCCGACTAGGTGCGTTCTTCCTTAAACTACACCTTGAACGAAAGCACTAACAAAACACAGGCCTAGCCATCAGCGGCGGCGCCGACAGCATGGTGCTGGCGTACCTGTGCCGCGAATGGGAGAAATCCGCCCTGACATCCAGTAAAAGCGACACTCCCCGCGTCGAGGTGACGGTGACAGCCTTCATCGTGGACCACCGCGCGCGCGAGGAGAGCTCCCGCGAGGCCGCCACCGTCGCCTCCTGGCTTACAGACATGAACATCACCACGCACATCCTGCCGCTCGACTGGTCCAGCCTGACCACGAGTCCGCAAACCCTGCCCGCCTTCGAAACCCACGCCCGCCGCCTCCGCTTCCAAGCCCTGGGCCGCGCCTGCCGCGCCGCGCACATCGACGCCCTCCTGACGGGCCACCACCGCGACGACGCCGTCGAGACGACGCTGTGGCGGCTCTGCACGGGCGCGCGCGGCGCCGGGCTCGCCGGGATCCCGGAATGCACGGGGATCCCCGAGTGTCATGGGATGTTTGGGGTGGTGGGGAGTCGGGGGGTTGAGTTGCTGAGATCCGCATACCCTTACCACCCTTATCCCGACAATCCCCATCCCCGGGTCAGCTCCGATCAGCATCATCATCATCATCATCATCATCATCATCATCATCATCATCATCATCATCATCATCATCATCATCATCATCATCATCATCATCATCATTCTGCCGCTAGAACAGCGCCAATGGCCACAGGAACCCTCCCCATCATCCGACCCCTCCTCGCCTTCCCCAAATCCGACCTCCTGGCTACCTGCGCCACTCACAAAATTCCGTTCGTCTCCGACCCGACGAACTTCGATCCCACGCTGACACCCCGGAATGCCATACGGAGTCTGTTGGCACAACAGAAGTTGCCGCGGGCGCTGCGCGAGGGGTCGGTGTTGGGGTTGATGGGGGCGAGTCGTCGACTCATCAGGACGGCTGAGCGGGAGTCGGAGACGTTATTGCGGTTGTGTGAGGTTGGGGGGTTCGTGCCCGAGACGGGGGTCGTGGGGGTTAGGTTTCCTTCTCTTGCATCTTGCGGTGATTCTGTTGGTAAGGGTGAGGGTGAGGGTGAGGGTGAGGGCCAGGGGGATGCTGCTGTTGAGCGAAGTGTACAAACCCAAATACAAGCCCTCGCCCTCCGCCGCATCACGGAGCTCGTCTCCCCGTTCCCGGATAATCACTTCCCGCTGCGCGCGTTCGAGCCGTTTGTGGCGAGGGTGTTTCGGGGCAAGCAGGCGCAGGAGCAGGAGCAGTCGTTCACGCTAGGCGGCGTGCTGTTCCAGCCCCTGTCGTTGGCCCCGAAGAAGAAGGGCGAGGAGAGTTTGTTTCTGAGAGCTGCTGCAGCTCACGCCCACGGGTCTGATACCCCCAAGAACAGCAGCAGCAATAACCAGAAAACATGGCTCCTCTCCCGCCAACCGTACATGAAGAACAGGCTCCCGGTCCTGGATTTCCACCTCTGCACGGAGGGATCTGTCACCACTACTGAACGGCAGGAGCAGGAGCAAGAGCAATGGCACCTCTGGGATAACAGATACTGGCTCCGCGTGGGCTGGTCCAGCAGCAGCAGCAGCTCCATACCATCAAAATCAATCCCCAACCCCAACTCCAATCCCAACCCCGGAATCAGTTCTCAAAACCCAGAACCCCCGAAAATACACCTCCGCATCCGCCCCCTCCAAAAATCAGACCTCAACATCCTCCGCCAGTTAAGCCCAACACATACGGCACACCACCACGATCCCAGCAAGCACGCAAACAAGACCGACGGGGAGCATATTCTTGCTCGGATGGAAACGAAGACCGGAACCGACTGTCATACTAATACCGATGGTGATACAGATAATGTACAAGACGGAAACCAGCAGGGAAGAATAGCAGACCCCCAAGCCCTCACCCGCCTCCTCGCGCAGGTCAGCCCCGGACGCACGCGATTCACTATTCCCGTGCTGGTGCAGGTGCTTGTTCGGCAGCAGCAGCAGCAGCCAACCAACACTACCAGAGATGATGTGGAGGGTGTGGATGGGGAGGGTGTAGTGCAGTCCGACCTAGTCTCAAACTCACACTCACACTCACACTCACACGCGGACTCGGACTCTGACCCAGAGAAAGTAGGCGCCTGGGCGGTTGCGGTCTCAGATACAACCACAACCACAACTACACACACACATGCAACTATAAGCACAAGCACAAGCACAACCCAACCTCCACCTCCGACTTCATCCACCGCAACAAACACAACTCCAACTTCCCCACCATCCCCATCCCAATCCCCAAACCAACTTTCCCGATCCCAACAAGGGTGGAACACACCCAAGACACAGGCACCACCACTACCACCTCCACCACCACCACCACCACCAGCGGCAGAAGAGGAAGAAATCCCCCTCGCCCTCCCGACGCTGGATCTGTGGCTTCCTTCCTCGCCGGTGACCCAACATCAGCGAAAATGGCCGGAGGGGAAGAGCCTACGCTGGGAATGGCGGTATAAGATGGTGGATCGGGCGGGGACGCTTCGATTAATGGGGTGGGAAACGGAGGGGGAAGGGGAGGGGGAGGAGTAGTCACTTCACCTATTACTGTACTTACTGTACCCACTGTACACACTGTATAACCTATGTATATCATTCACAAGCTCCACATAATCCAAGCTAGGTACCTTAAGGAGCTTCTACTACGAAATTCCCCGGGAATATCAAGATATCATGCTCAGTGGATGATACGCCTCACAGAACCTACCAGCCGCAAACAACCTACATCTACAATAACAACCACCGAGTAAAAAAGACCTCTGAATTGGAATTAACACACCAGAAGTATCAAGAAAGTTCGACACCCATAAGGCTATACACTCCGTGACCATGCGATGGTTGAAAAGCCCCCAAGAACCCAGCCCCCAGAAAATCAAACCCCGCCATTGCCCCCAGACAAAAAAAAAAAAATCAAAAAAATCAAGACGCGGATGCTATGCCCCATCCAACAAGATAATGCCGTATAGACACATAGACACACACAAAGGAAAGTTGTTCAAGGAAAGACCCAAGTCGATGCACCGGTTCGAGAACAAGAAAATCAGGCGATTGGCCTGGTGGTGACACAAAACAGAAAAATATCTACTCACTCGCCTTCAGCAAGGCAACGGCCGCCTGCTGCGCACGCAACCCTCCCACCTCACGCTTCAGTCGGAAATTCTCCTTCTTCAAGCGACCAATCTCCTCCAGCGCCGACGACAGCTGCGATTTCAGCGACTCTTCCCCGTTCCCCGTCCGCATGTCTTTGGCGATCTTCTCCAGCTCCGTATTGAACCGATCATACAGAGCCTCGTTCTCGGCGCTGGCCTCCCGGTAGAGCTCGTCCAGCTTCTTGGCCCGTCGCTCACTCACCACCAACGATGACTCCAGGTCTCTTTCGATCAAGGCAGTCCGGCCATTCAACTCCTCCGAGAACGTCTCGAATCTCGTCTCGAGGTTACGAACCCGGGAGGCCAGCGCGGCGTTGGCGGTAGAAGGGGCAAACGGCTCGTCAAGGGAGTGCAGCTTGCCATCGCCCTTGTACGGCGTCGGGTTCAGTCTCAATGCATTGAGTTCTGCGCCGATAAGCTCGAGCTCATCCTTCAGTCCCAAGGACGCGATATTTTGGGCTTTCTTCTCGCTGTTGAGGCGATCCCGGAGCTGCAGATTGTTAGAATAGTACCACACACCACATAAGAAAAAAGCTCACCTTCTGTGGACTTTGCAGACGTAGTTTCGGCGTCTTCTGCGAGCCTAAGGTCGGTTGTAAGCGTCTCGCGTCGGAGCCATTGATCTGCATCGGTCGCTCCTTCAAGCCAGGCACTCTGGAAGAAGGGATACTGGTTGCCCGCGATCGTCTCTTGATGTCCAGGGGAGGAGATCCCGTTGCGTCGGCCTTCTTCCTCGGGGCCCGGTCGGTTTGCGGTAATTTGGGGTCAATATTCTCCTTGCGACTGGGTGTGACGGGGCGGGTCGGGGATCGGCGGGTTGGAGACGCCAGCCGCGTGGGCGAGGCACTCTTTGCAGGGGACGTGCTGCGGACCGAGCCCGAGCCGTGACTTGTTTGCGGCCGTGTCTGGCCCGCTGGCGTCATCGCCTCCGCTCGCGGCTGGGTGGGAAGCGACGATGACGGAGTCATGGGTCTCTGTCCTTGGCTGGTAGACAAGATCGACACGTCAGATGAGGCCGTGCCTGGTCTGATGTCGGACAGAGAACTCCGCCGTCGCCTCCTGATCCTTACTACCCCATTAGTAGAAATGCCTCGAATTGAGGACAACGAGGAAGCCTCATCCTGAGAGCTTCCAGGACGACGAAGATGCTCCTGTGACGTGGACGCACCCGGGCGATCGCGGGAGCCTGGCCGCAGTAACGAAACCAGCCCCGTGTCGACATCAATGGACTTGGACCGGAGCAGCAGTGACCCTCGCGGCGTCCCGGGCTCAGAATCGCCCGATCCTTTACTTTTGCTCAGCGTTCGCAGAATGGACGACACTTTACTCTCTGTTTCCGACTTGGAGTTATCGCGGTGCAGGCTGAATCCGAAACGCTTCCGAAACGACGACGCATTGGAGTTCATCGAGCCCGCCGTCTGGGACACCGATTTGGTTTGGTCGCAATTGAGCGTCCCTTCCAAGTCGGCGCCCCCGGGAATATACTCGTCAAACAGATTATCAAAGTCATCCACAAGACGATCCAACAGGGAAATGTACTGCATCGGATCTCCCTCGACCGTCAGCACCTCTGCAAAGGCTGCCGTTAACGCACCACGATCGCCGTCATTCCCCGAGGCATCAAGAAGCTCTGCGAGCAACCGAATCATAGAAGCGAGCGCACGGCGATTTTGGGGACTCATGTCGGCAAGAAATCTGCGGAAACTCTCTTCGAAATCTCGCGGGAACATGCTGTCAAATTGGCTCTGCAATGAGTTCAATGAAGACGAATCGATTACGGGCCCCATGTGTTCGCGCCATGCATTAGCCATGAACGTCTCAAAAGCCACGAACAATGTATCGACCGACACCTCCGCCGCAGCCTGGATCTTGCCGGGGTCTTCTAGGAGGATATTATACAGCTCATTGACGGACGAGCGGTCCACGTTGTCCCGGCCTCGTAGAGAGCGTCCAACAATGTTTCCACTCCGCGATTGCAGGGCGAGAGCAAACGCGGCAAAGGTCTGCTCCAGGGCGCTGAACGGGCTTTCCTGGCCCCTCGAAGGCGGCGCGCCAACCACAGAAATCTTGACCGGACTCTCTTCCTTCCCTGGAAACGCCGAAGGCAGCGTATTGGAACGCGGAATATTCCCTCGAGGTGGCGGCATGCGAGGAAATTCCCCCAGCAGCGCTGCTGAGCTGGGCATTTTTATGCTGCCCGCGCTGTTTTCCTTGGGTTGATGGCTTCCCAGCAGGCTCGACAGTAGTTTTGAGGCTGATGGCGGTCGAAACCCCCGCGGGACCTTGAAGTTGGCCATGAGATGACCGGCGAGATACCGCAGAATTTCGAAATTGGAATGCACTATCGATTCAGTCATCGTGCGGTTCTGCGGGCCATGCAGCGGGAGTAGCACATTAGACACTAACTGCGGTCAGCAAACAAACAAACATGCAGGTATTGATTATACTTACGGCGCTTAGACAGTACTGCAACGAAGCTGTCCGCGGTCACAAGATCAGAAGATGCATGGCCCACGACAGAGTCAATGTCCACACGAAACTGGTCCTCGCTCGACGGGGAGACCGACACAATCACCTCGAGATCGGAATTTGATAATGTTTGGCTGCAGACTGTGCGGGGAGTATTAAAGACCATCCTGATTTTCGATGCACTGGGTCTTCTGGCGGCCGTTTCCTCCTCTTCGAAGACACATGCCAAAACACCAAGATTGGCCACCGTCCCGGATGGACTGCGCAATGTCCACTTTCCATTCTCCCGCTCACTTTCTGAGAATCGACCTTCAATCTTGGCTTTCACAATCTCCTCAATGATGCGACTGGCGCGTCCTTCATACATGGACACGGGCTCCAGCGCAAGCAAGTCAACAGTGGTGTTTTGATTGGGTCGCGACTTCACCGACATGGGCGCCAGGAACAGAATACGTCCACAGTTAGACTGCATGCATCGAACATTGTGCAGATCATACACTTGGACCACCCGCAGCTCTGGCACCAATGGAATGTTGGTGGCTGCCGGAGTGGCTGATGCGGCGTTGTCCAGGTCTGCCAGAAGACCACGCGCGGTTGTTCGACCTCCCATCGCTTTAGACAACAACACCAGGCAGTTCTTATAGATCAGCATGATCCCCGGGCTGGGCTCCTCTGCAAGATCCAGATGGTACGGAGGCGACAGCTCGTTAAAGTCCACCGCTGTGATGAGCCGGCCGGCTGGCAGTATAGTGGATGGCCAGCCGTCGACCAGCTCCTTCAGCCGTCGGAAACTCTGATCATGGTTGGCGGTCGAGGCATCGTCGAGGGAGCAGATGTCTTTAATGACATCACGCGCCTTCAGCAGTGGGCGCACGGCCGGGTGTACCAACGGCAGACTACTGGTCATGGTGTCGATGAGGAGACTATATCGGGGTAGACGCTGGACAGGCTCCATGAGGAGTGAGCGGAGTTTCTGTTCCCCGGTCTCGTATACGCGCTTGGAGAAACTGGAATTCTTATCTTTCATGAACGAGTTCAACGTCTGAGTGAAGCCGGTATGGGCCCGCATGTAGTCCGCATACGGCTCAGAGAATTGTGGAAACCAGTCCAGGAGTGCGTCCGCAAATGCGACAGCACCGATAGTGTCTTGGTCCTCCTTGGACGATGTCCGCTGCGACATGGACGATGAAAGCTCCGTATCTTCAGTCATATCTGCAATGGCGTCTTTCTCTGTCTCTTCCAAGACTTGACGAATCACACTCAAGAAACCCATGTTCACCTGAAGGATTTCATTCAAGCACGGGGGGAACAGAGTCGCCAGATCAGCCTCGTCCGGACTCGTACTCGATGACAGGCGCAATTGGGCTTTCATTCGGTATTCCTCCGCCACCTGGCAGACGAGGGTGTAAAGCTTGTTGACGTAGCGCTCCTCCGTATCCACCAGCTCGCACATGGTCAATCGCAGAGCCTGTTTTTGACTGGCGGAGAATATCTTCGATTTGCTGACGTTGGTCGGCTGGGAAGGTGCGCGCTTGAGTCGGGAGGTGGGAAGGAACATGGGGGCGCCCAGGGTCTGAATGAGGGCGGTATATGGGCCATATCGGAGGTCGGGGCCGTCATAGAAGTCTGCATTACCATCATGAACATTATCATCATTATCGGGCTCGGGAGCTTTGATCGTCCCGGCGGGCAAAACGACATCGATATCGACCCAGGGCACCTTGCGCTCCTGAAAGGCGCCTCGGATGTCGCGCACTAACTCGGAGGCATGTTCAACTTTTGTCATTCGATTCGCCAAATCGGCCGCATGCATCTCGTCGAAGAGTTTGGGAACCTTGACACCTGGTTTCCCCGCGCGAGCCATGGCCTGGAGGCATTCTTTGGCTGGGTCGGACAGCTCTGCGAAGTACTTCAGCATGCTGACGGCCAGGCCGCGACTGACCTCGTCGCCTTGCTTCTCGCGGGGCAGGTGGTTGACGGCGGCGTACAGCGGGGCGGCGGGAGAG